CAATTGAAATAAACAGATCCCAAGTGGTATCAGCCAGCCCAAAATCTTCACCTGAACTAGAACTTTCCTTCCAAAACTACTTGTTAAATTTCACTGAAGGGCCTCGAGGTTCTGTGGCTTGTTAGAAATTCCCAGRTACAGAAGCCTCAGATACAATTACTAATTTCAGGAAGAATTCATCCCCCCACATCAAACTCCAATGCAAGTCTGCCAGGTTTTGGGTTCAGTCCTAAATCCACATTGCATTCTGCCCCACAAAAAGCATGAATAACAGAAGAGATGGAGAAATGCTTCTCTTCTAGAAGACAAGAGTAGGGAGTCTGAAAATCCTCRGTTTGATTTTGATTTAGAGTTACTCAGGGCACACAAGTCAGTGCAGAGATCAGCCCATGCCTGATGAATCCGTGACATTCAAAGATCGGGGTGGAAGAAACACGAAGACAAAAGATACTGTTTAGAAAACAATGATTATTTATTTATCATCGGTACAGGGACGTTGAAACAATAACAAACTGTTCAACCACTTTAAAAAAAAAAAAGGGCTTTTTATTTATTTGTGTGAATGTCAGAAGGCTGTTGGTTTTCTCAAATGTTCTGGCTGGGTTTGGGGCAATGGGTGGAGCAACTTCTACCTCCTGAAGTCCTCATTGGAGAATTAGAGTTGCTTGTAGCTTTTTAACAAATTTTTGTCTTGAGATCAAGTTATAATCCACGTTGGAATTACTGCCCTGTGAATTCTGATCTCGGGGCAAAAGTAGGGTAAAGGTAGATACGAAATAGAAGCAAAGAAATTAAATCTGAAGGAGCCGCAAATGGAGGGGGTGTTTGGTCTTTTCTTTAAAGAAGAAGTACTTGAAAATTTATTTCTATGCACCGGGCAATAAATTGTTTGGTTTAGTAATTTTCCAGCAGAAAAGAAACTGTGTTTGAGACTTTCAAGGAAAAGCAGCAGCTCAAAAGTTTTCTCATCTGGTTTATGAAAACAAGAATAGCACCGCTAGAAGATGGAAGAAAAAAGCTTTATAAAACATGGGAATAAGGATACAACACATCTACAACTGTGAGTCTGAATKAAAAAGAAAATTTGACTAAAGATCACTATGGTCCAACTTGCAAAGATCTGTGTGTTACGGTGTGATAATAACTGGGATGTGCTGGTGAGCCCGACATAAACTGAATGTCTTCTTAATCAAAAAAATCTWTTCAAAACAACAGATTGAAGAATAAATAAACGAAGAAAGTTATTTCAGGTGGCTGTGGGGATAGGAGATGAGGCGGTGAGAGATCTTTGGGGGAAATCCAGGCACAGGTGAAGGAAAACGTGGCGTGAAAATTGGAATATCTGAGTAACCGGARAAGGATCTGAAGGAGAAAAAAAGCCACCAGAAAGTGAAGGAACATGGCAGTGATGAAGGAAATCCTCCGATCCAGAAATCTCTTGCTCGTTGTCCTCATCCCACTTCTGCTGCTTCCTCTGCCACTCATATACCCCAGCAGTGTAAGTACATTTTAATTTTCTTTTTTAACAGAAAAAGCACAACAGGCAGCCCTGCTGATGGAGTTCGCAGTGTGCAAAAAGGCAAAGGCCTCAAGAAGCACAGAACTTAGAAAAATCAAAAATTCAGATTAGAAGGACTGTGAGGATTACTGAGAGGTCATCAGAGGAAGAGCCAGAGGAAGCTTGAGTGGTGATCACAAGGAGAGCTGCAGATCCAGGTGAAGCCAGTAAAACACTGCTTTAAAGCAGAATTGTTGGATCTCTTCTTTGTTTAAATTTCTTTGTGGAAGGGGGAACAGAACAGACATATCCACAGAATTTTCTTTAKGGAGAGGCCTTTAAATTGAATACTTATGGCATCTTTAGATTTTTATGAATAAATATGCATGGAAGGACTTCCAGTTTGGGGTAGGATTATAAGGAAGGTGAGGCAAAAAAAGTCACAATTTGGTGAAAATACAGGGCACTGACTGGCCCAGAGCAGCTGCAGGTCCCTCTGCAGGCACAGTGCAGCTCAGAAGTGCTGGCCCAAAGACACACACGGCAAGGCAGAGCAGGGGATAATAGCCCGTGCTTAAAATACAGAGCAGGGGAAGGGGTTGAATGAAGCCATGCCCCTGACATTGCTCTGAGCTGCTGGATACCCTGACTGCATGGTGAACTCCCCTTTTTGCACACCTTTGCAGTTGAAACCCATAAAACAGCAATGTTTCCTACCTACTAGTGGTGATCCTACCTGATGGTGATATTTAACTTATTCAAATGTGTTAATGTATTAAAAATTCTGCAGCTTGTCTTTCCATGTAGAGCTAGAAACACATCTGGCCAAAAGGCACAGCCATTTCTATTCTGTCTTCTACCCCGATAATGATGATTTCTTCTTTATAGTACCAGGGGATTTATTAATATTATCTTTATGAAATAGAAATACAAAAGATTGTAAACTGTATAGCTGTTTTCAAAAATGAAACAGTAATATTTTGTTTGGAAAGAAAACCAGGGTTCAGAGTGGAAATGTTCCTGCACCGCTGAACCGTGTGGTGCACTTTGAGTTTTCCTGCTCTGACCTTCAATGGATTTTGGCTGTTCTCATGGTAGTTTTTTATCTCTTTTATCTCGAGAGAGGGCATGAATGTCACACAATTGTGCCCTTCAGGGAGCAGAGAGGCTCACCCTTTCAGTGAGGCTTGTTTTACAGCAGGGTTTAATCTCCCCCATGTCACTGCAAAGGTGGCACAAAAAGAATGTGCCAATGCTCCCTGGCATGCTGAGGGATTTGTAAGGCACCACGTGGATGCTGAAGCAGGAGTTCACTACAGGATTGCTGCAGGAATTGCTGTTGTGCAGTACAAGCTCCTCTGCCCTATCGCTCTGCACCTCGAGGTGCTGCTTTAGTGCAAAGCTATGTGAAAATCCATCAGGAGGTGATTTGCATGCACTTTGTACACGTGTGAGTGAGCACAGAGGGTGAAGCACAGATGAGAATCTGACCAAAAGCTAGACAAATGTTTATAGTGCAATTAAGAAAACATCTACACCAAATAAATTCAGCTGACTTTTGTGTAGATCTTACATTGTTGCAACCCACTGACTATGATCACCTTTTAAACATGAAGATTAAATTTCATGCCTGCTCACTTACTTATATTTTTATTTATCAGGAAATTATATTAGCTTTCTGTCTTTTCTATAGAGGTTCAAATTACCAAATCATTAATATTTGCATTTCTGCAGGGAATCAACGTGCAGTTTCTTTGATGATACCAGAAYATCCCTGGAAATGTCAAAGGAGCATTAGATGTGCAGTGCAAAGTGTGATCAAAGGGTGCACAAGGACTCTGAATTGTTTGTAGATTGTGCTGATGGGAATAAAGTCCACAGATTCTTTTATATTAGTTTGTGACAAGAGATAGTTGGGTGAAAAATAAATTTGAGGAAATTTACTTGAGTTCTTTTTCCCCTTCCAGAGTTATGACTGAACTTGTACAACAGATTTGAATACACACAAATGCCTTTCGGGTCATGGCACTTTCAGATTTTAAAAAAATGTGTTTGCCTTRCAAACTGTGGGTCTTTTTCATTCTGTTCTTATTCCTTTCATTGTTCACAGTGACAAGCAAGCATTTTTGCTTCCTTTCTTTAATCCTTGTCCACTTTTATGGTTTTTCTCTAATCATAAAGCCCCCAGAGATCCCATAAGGCATGGCACATGAATTCAGTCAGTTGAGGCTGTGACCACTGGTCCTGTGGCCACACTGTGCCCAGTCAGGGACATTTGAATGGCTCCTCAAAAATCAGCTGTGGACAGAGCTGTGAGAGCTGCAGTATCAGGGGATGTTTGACTTCTTGATGTGCCAAACCACCAGAATGTATCCTAAAGCACAGAAAATGCTCTTCAGAGCCACAGATGACGTCTTTTCATTCACCTTTGGTTTTATTTACACAAAAAGTGGGCAAATCTGCAACAGCTTATTTTTCCTTTTAATCACTCTCAGGTCCTTGGATATTTTAATTACAAAAGTTTCATGCATGACCCTTAGTGTGGAGTTTTTAGCCATGGCTTTCTTTCAGCTCCTCTTTTCTTGTCACCTGAGGGACTGACTGAAAACAGATAATTAKATCATTAATATTTGCTCCTCCAACCATCTCATGTTTTCCTATTCCCTATTTGAAGCTCTGAGGTGGGCTTAACAGTAATTTTCAGCTGTGAAACAGCAAGTGAGGAGGGTGAAATAGTTAAAATTATCCTGCCACTGCTTCAGTCTAGGACTTAGTAGCTCTGGTAACCATTAATTAAATATATAAACTCAGTTCAATTAAATAGAAGAGATTAAAATGGTTTCTCTTGGAAACGAACTGAGGAAATAAATAAAGTTGCTAGACAAGCTGATTAAGTTTCCAGTGGAGATTAGCAAGCTTGGCTTTCCTAGTACTTGCTTAGAGTTTTAAAAATGCAGTTAATTTTAAAATGCAGTTAATTTTGTTGCTGGGGTTTTTCGGGTTTTGTTTTTTGGTTTTGGTTTTTTTTTTATTTTATTTAGTTTGGTTTGGTTTTTTGTTGGTGGTGTTGGTGGTGGTTTTGGGTTTTTTTGTTTTCTGGGGTTTTTTTGTGTTTTTTAATAACATAATTACAGTCTACTGTACAGGAAACACAAACTCTTAGTGCCCATCTGAGTTAGGTTTTGGTAGAAATGCAACTTCCCTTTGTCCTATTCCATTTTTGCTACCAGAGGAGCATTAAAAAATAAAAATCACTGYTCAAAGAAATTAAAGAGAAGTACATTTCTGAAGTGAGAAAATTGTTTGGATTCTGTTTATGATGAAATTAATTTTATTAATTTTGGTAAAACATAGCCCTTGGATCTTATACCTACACTGCTTTAAAATAAAAATCACTGATTTTTCTTTCATTAGAAGTTCTTTTTCWCCTCAGACAACTGCTGGATCTCATACAGAGATTTGTTAGCAGAAGCTAATGAGTTAAAAATTAAAAAGTTGTCAGAGTCGCTAGGTCACAAAAAAGGCCCTGTGCTCTSCTTGYTGTGGAATATTAACCTTAAAGTGTMATGCAGTTAAARGTGATTGAGCAGCAGTTGGATAATCCAGAGCTAAATTTCTCCAACAGCCATTCAGATCCACTTTATAATCTCCCAAATAATTGGAGTCTATCTGCTTCAAG